AGAACCTTTTTAGTTTGATGTAGTCCCATGAGTTCATTTTTGCTTTTGTTTCCCTTGCTCGAGGAGATGCGTTCAGGATGAAGTTGCACATACTTACTCAGGAGATGTTTGCCTATGTTGTCCTCTAAGAGTTTTATGGTTTCAAGACTTACATTCAAGTCTTTGATCCATTTGGAGTTTACTTTTGTGTATGGAGTTAAACAATAATCAAGCTTCATTCTCTTGCATGTAGCTGTCCAGTTTTGCCAACACCAGCTGTTGAAGAGGCTGTCGTTTCCCCATTGTATGTCAATGGCTCCTTTATCATATATTAATTGACCATATATGCTTGGGTTTATATCTGGGCTCTCTAGTCTCTTCCATTGGTCTATGGGTCTGTTCTTGTGCCAGTACCAAATTGTCTTGATTACTGTGGCTTTGTAGTAGACCTTGAAGTTGGGGAGCATAATGCCCCCAGCTTTATTCTTCCTTCTCAGAATTGCTTTGGCTATTTGAGGTCTTTTGTGGTCCCATATGAATTTTAGAACTATTTGCTCTAATTCATTGAAGAATGCTATTGTTATTTTGATAGGAATTGCATTGAATCTATAGATTGCCTTTGGCAGGTTGGCCATTTTGACAATATTAATTCTTCCTAGCCAAGAGCATGGGATGTCTTTCCATTTATTGGTATCTTCTTTAATTTCTCTTAAGAGTGTCTTATAGTTTTCAGGGTATAGGTCTTTCACTTCCTTGGTTAGGTTTATTCCTAGGTATTTTATTTTTTTTGATGCAACTGTGAATGGAATTGTTTTCCTGATTTCTCTCTCTGCTACTTCATCGTTAGTGTATGAATGCCACAGATTTCTGGGTATTAATTTTGTGTCCTGCAACTTTGCTGAATTCAGATATTAGTTCTAGTAGTTTTGGAGTAGATTCTTTAGGGTTTTCTATGTACAATATCATTTCATGTGCAAACAGGGACAGTTTAACTTCTTCCTTGCCAATCTGGATGCCTTTTATTTCTTTGTGTTGTCTGATTGCCGTGGCTAGGACCTCTAGTACTATGTTGAATAGAAATAGGGAAAGTGGGCATCCTTGTCTTGTTCCTGATCTTAAAGGCAAAGCTTTAAGCTTCTCGCTGTTAAGTATGATGTTGGCTGTGGGTTTGTCATATATGGCCTTTATTATGTTGAGGTACTTGCCCTCTACACCCATTTTGCTGAGTTTTTATCATGAATGAATGTTGAATTTTGTCACATGCCTTTTCAGCATCTATGGAGATGATCATGTGGCTTTTGTCCTTTTTGTTGATGTGGTGGATAATGTTGATGGATTTTCGAATGTTGTACCATCCTTGCATCTCTGGAATAAATTCCACTTAGTCATGATGGATGATCTTTTTGATGTATTTCTGAATTCGGTTTGCTAATATTTTGTTAAGTATTTCTGCATCTCTGCTCATCGGGGATATTGGTCTGTAATTTTCTTTTTTTGTAGTGTCTTTGCCTGGTTTTGGTATTTGAGTGGTGCTGGCCTCATAGAATGAGTTTGGAAGTATTCTCTCTTCTTCTTCTCTTTGAAAACTTTAAGGAGGATGGGTATTAGGTCTTCACTAAGTGTTTGATAAAAGTCAGTGGTCCCATTCTGGTCCAGGGGTTTTGTTCTAGGGTAGTTTTTTGATTACCAGTTCAATTTCATTGCTGGTAATTCGTCTGTTCAGATTTTCTGTTTCTTCCTTGGTCAGCCTTGGGAGGTTGTATTTTTCTGGAAAGTTGTCCATTTCTTCTAGGTTATCCACCTTGTAACCATATACTTTTTCATAGTATTCTCTAATAATTCATTGTATTTCTGTAGTGTCTGTAGTGATTTTTTCTTTCTCATTTCTGATTCTGTTTATGTGTGTAGACTCTCTTTTTTGCTTGATAAGTCTGGCTAGGGGTTTATCTATTTTGTTTATTTTCTCGAAGAACCAGCTCTTGCTTTCATTGATTCTTTGTATTGTTTCTATTGTCTCTTCTTGATTTGATTTACTTCTGCTCTGATCTTTATTATGTCCCTCCTCCTACTGACTTTGGGCCTCATTTGTTCTTCTTTTTCTAGTGTCATTAATTGTGAGTTTAGACTGCTCATATGGGGTTGTTCTTTCCTGAGTTAGGCCTGTATTGCAATATACTTTCCTCTTATCACGGCCTTGGCTGCGTCCCACAGATTTTTATCTAGAGTAACAAAATAATTGATGAAGCTAACTTTCTCTTTATCGATGTGAACAACAAATGAAAAAACTATCACTTTGCACTACTGATGAAATTAATGGGTCTAGGCCGTGAGGATCAATAGCTGCTGGCTTCATTAGAAAGGATGAGAAGACGTTCCTATGGAATCACACACCCCACCTTGGATTACTCTTGCAAAATCTGGGTCCTTTACAGAAAAAAAGTTTTGCTGATCCCTGATCTTGAGACTAATGACCCATTTTTTTCAACAAAAAAATTGCGGGGGTTAAGAAAAAGAGATGAAAGGAAGAACCAAGAGTTCATAGAGAGAACACCAGTCACCACAAATGTGGGTCTTCTTTGGATCCCTATTCAGAAAAATGAAACAGTGTAAAAAAATCAGAGAAATGTGAAGTGACAAGGATACTTGATTTTAAAGAATTGGTCATTTTTAAAGACATGATAGTGGTTTTATGGTTGTATTCTAAGAAGAGTCCTTAGCTTTTAGAGATACCTTCTGAAATACAGGTGTCTGGGTTTGCCTCAGAACAATCAGAGGAGTGGGGATGATTCTGTGTGGTTGTAAGTGAAATGAGTGGCCATGTAATGAAAATTATAACTGGAAGATGGTGCCTGGGGGTTCACCACACTGTTTTTCTATTTTCTGTATTTTCATATATGGTTGGAAATTTATATTACAAGTTAAAAATAAATCAATTATTTCAAAACAAAAGTTTTAAAAAAATTGGTTCAAGGGCCATTTCCTCAGGGCCTTGTAATCTGAAGCCTCTTCTGTGATTCTGGGGAGACATGCAGCTTCCCACCCTGTTACTGTTAAATGGGTATTTAATTTCCCCACAGCATCAGTCCTGAGGACAGGGGCCGTGCGTGCGTTAACTTGGGCCCCTAGTGACCATCACAGGACCTGGCACATAACCCAGTACTTAACAGACCCTTAATATGCATCAGGACTTTTCACAGCATATCATGATTTCTAGATGGGAAATCCCATCTAGAATTTTTCCCATGTAGATGGGAAAAAAACCAAACCTGAATCTGATCAAGCTTCTTGTACTGTATATTTATTATAAATCAGGTAGAGTATGACTCTTGCCGTAACTGAATAGGCGTGTTAGTTTGGGCTGTCTGAGTCTGAGGCAGGATGTTTTATCGTAATGCCGAGTGTGGAGTACTTCCTTCCTGTCAGTTGTTTCTTCTCCAAGCCCAATGTAGTGGAAATATCCACATTCAAATCTAAGATCAAAACCTAATCCTCAAACCAGCTGTAAATTATTTATTATGTATCTTTTTGCTCCCTTTTTATTAGCTTAATAAGTAACAATTGATTATGATTATTGAAAATTTAATTTTAAAAATCCCAGTCCTTATGCTTGCTTGCTTCTCTCTGTACATTGTTATCTTCATATTCAGTAGCAGCTACTTTACAATAGGGTGTTTCCTGTTTTCAGTGTAATTTGAACCTCCCAAACCCTGAGCTCCAGGGAAAGTGAGTCAGAAACACAACTCTGAAGCTTAACACAGGATCTTTTTTTTTTTTTTAATAAATCACGCGGCACCTAAACACCTCACATCCATCAAGAAACCCTTATGATACCCTGGGCTTGGGGACTGGGTGGATTGTCAAATGGTTAGTCATCAAGTTATTTTTGTAACCATATTCTCCTATGCTATTTTCCTTTGAATTGGGGTATTTGTAGCAGGTGCGGGTATTTTTTAGTTATTCCATAAGAGTAAAATGCTGTTTTCTTCAAAGCACTTATGATCATGTCTGGCATGGTTTTAAAGCTGATTGACCTGCCTAAATCCCACTGACCCCCAGGGTGCCCTTCTGGTTTGCTTGTTCAAACTGGAAGCTGAAGTCAGACCTGAGAGTGGTCTGAAGCACTGGAGAAACTAGCTCAGTGGTGGAGCCAGCAGAAGGGGAAGCAGGCTGTCACAGCGAGGACACAGACGGCTTCTCTACCATCCTTGGACATCACATTGTCTACAGCTAATCTCTGCATCCGTTTATTTGGGTCCTTTTCTCCCTTCTTTTGATGGCTTTCTTTTTGTATTTATGGTTGCTCTTACTATTTATGATTAAGGGGCCAAGGGGAACAGAACATGGATAACTAAAATATAGAAATGAACTTCAGAGTTTTTTTTACCAACTCCCAAGACATTAGGATGAAAAAGCTCTTTCTGAATCTTGAACAACAGTAAAATAAACATAGCTGCTACCTGCATGGGGCTCATGGTCTGGTGAAACAATAGACATTAAGCAAGTAATTACTACAAACACACACAAACTATGGTAAATGCTATGAGAGAAAAAAAGTGGAGTGCTATGAGGAGATGTAATACAGTGACCCAAGAGAGATTAAGGGTGAGATGAGCAAAAATTAGAGATTAATCCCTAATCAGGGGGAAGAGGCAGAGAGAGAAGATACATGTAAGGCAAAATGGTTTAGACAGATGGGTGAGGAAGCCATAAAGTGGTGATTCAGTTAAGATAAGGTGTCAGGGAGGAAGGCCACAGCTTGCCCCCCATAGCCTGGCTCCGAGTCCTAACCTGGGTGGCTACTGGGCTGATGCAGTAGTATTTGCTAAACATTTTGATAGTTGCTAAACATTCACAGAGTAATAAGACATATCCTAGAACCTGCCTTGCTCTGCTTAGGGATTCTTCCTCCTTCTAATTGGCGACAGAGAAATGTCACTAGTTATGATACAGTATGATAAGTACAAGGCCACCCTGAGAGAGCACAGAATTCTGAGAGGTTAATCAGCTTTGCCTTGCGGGGAATGGTTGAGACAAAGCTGGGCTTTAAAAGATCAGTGATAAAGGAAGGACATTTCAGGAACAAGCTGTACACTGAAATCAAGTGTGAGAAGTGTGGCACATTTGCAGAACTGCACGGAAGTTTAACATGGCTCTACTGCAGGGTATATTTGGGAGTTGAAGGAAGTAATCACACATAAAAGGCAGAAGCCAAATGTTAGAGACTTACATGCACTGGGGAATTTGGACTTTATCCTGCAGGTGTTTCTCGCGGTGGGGGTAGGGGCCGGGCGGAGGGGATGGCAGGATGGCATGGAAAGGGAGTGACTTCATCAGACTTGTTTTACAAAGACTACTCTGTCAGAGACGTAGTATATATTGAGGAATTGGGCCTGAAGGAAAGGGGACCAGTTAGAGGACAGTACAGTAATTCTGGGGAGAACTGGTGATGGCCTGATGCAGTAGTGACACTGTAAACAGCAACAGTCAGATGAAAAAGCTGTTTGGGGACAAGCTCTTCAAGGCTTGGGGATTGACTGGTGTTGAGGGAGGAGTGAGGAAAGGGGAACCACACATGACACCAACTGATCACTAGGGTGACCAGCCTGCTTGTGTGGTGCTCCGTGGCATCAGGAGTGGCAGCGTATGTGGAGAAAACTGCTGAGTTCCAGGCTGGGCAAGTTTGCCTGGAGAGACCTATGGAATAGCCAGTGACGGTGTCTCATCGGCCCAGACTGACTAGTGATAGGAAGAGGTAAGCTCAGGCCTGGACAGAGTTCATTTCTTTGCTATTAAAATAAACATTCTAGAATAGTCAGGATTTATACAAGGGTTGTAAAGATAATACAAGAGTTCTTGTAGACTTACCATTTCTTTAGATCCTCCTTCCACCTCATTCCTTGAGTTTCTGCCGTATTGAAATGGGTATCCTTGTTTGCAAAGATTCCCAAGTACATGCTAAAGAGAGGGTCATGTGATTCAAACCGAAGCAATATAAAGACATATGATAAAAATCTTACTCCAACCCCTGCCTGCATCTGCCCTGCTCACTTCCCACTCCCTACAGATAACTATTTTGATTAGTCACTAGAATACTAATTCTTCTGTTTTTTTAATGTAAATATGGGCAAATAATAAAAAAATACACTATGTGTTTCCTCCCTTTCTTTTACAAAAGGTAGTGCATTATGGACACTGTTCTGTAGCTTGCCTTTTTGCTGAGCAATGTGCCCTAGAGGTCAATACGTTCGGAACTGTACTGTCTGAGGAGATAGCTGTAGGCTGTGACTACTGACTCCTTAAAATGTGGCTGGTGCAACTAAAAATCAATTTTAAATTTAGATTTAACAATGGAAGCACTGTAAAATATTTTCCCATTAAATCAACTTTATTGTTTTGACAGGACTACATTTCACTTTAACCACTAAAAATATAGCATCCAAATTGAGATGTGGTGTGAGGTTAAGTGTAAAAACACACACTGAATTTCAAGATCTAGTTTACATTCTTACTTTTGTACTATTTTAATGTTTCAGTGTTTACATGTTGAAATACTATTTCTGATATGTTGTCTTAAATAAAATACTAAGGTTTTACCATTAAAAAATTATTAAATATGACTATCAGAAAATTTTAAATTGCATATGTGGCTCAAATTCTCTTTCTACTGCACGCTGCTGATACACACATAATGGTATTTTTTTACGGTTGTGTCGTATTCCATTCTATACAGTACAATGCTTTATATAACCAGTCCACTAATATAAATACTTGAGTTGTTTTCAACATTTTACCGTTAAAAATGCAGAAATGCTTAAACCTGTCTATGTGTCACTTCCTATGTGTGCAAGTTGGTCTGTGATATGAACCCCCAGTATTGAGGTTGCTGGGTGAAAGAGTAAATGCTTTTGTGATTTTGATATTGTCAGCTTGCCCTCCATCACAGCTGTGCCAGCTTGCACTCCCACAGGCAGTGTGTGAGTGCCAGATTCCTGAAATACTGTCATTTTAAATTACAGTATCTACATGGTTGGGACATAACATGGGTTTTGTTTTTTGTTTTGCTAATTCTGAGAGTTTTAAGAAATCACAGGTGTTTGCCTTTTTTTTTTCATTTTTAAAAAGATCTATTGATAAAACTCTTAGAATTAACATTGACCCTTTTTTTTTCTTGACATGAAAATATCAAGGAATCAATCCAGTTTCTCCAGGCTATAAAGTTCCAGGAAATTGCAACTTTTATCATATTTAGATTTAGGAAGACGTATTTTGTGATGGTTCAAATGGATAAGTGACAACATTGTTTTCTAAGAGCTGGAGATCTCTCCAGTCCCCCCAGCAGCCTTCCCTGGCTATGGTGGACATGCACTGCAGGTTTGCATCCCGTCAGTTTATCATTCCCTGGGTTCACTTTACTGGATTCTAAACATATTTCATTTTAATGGGCTGAGAAAATCCACTGACAACATAGTTGGAGCTTAGTTTTTTAGTGTTCATAATTATTAGTCCAATTATATTTACTTTATTAATAAGTTGCAGAAAAGCTTACTTTTCCACATTTAGGATCCAACTGTTATCTCTCTCTTGAGACTTGTGTGCCCTCTACTGCCCTCTTTGCCTTTTTTGTTTTTTTCCAGATTAAAATGAAGAGCTAAACATTCAGTATTCAAAAACAAATTACTTCAATTTTTCCATTCATAAGAATCTAAAAATAAGATTCTCATGAACAGAAATCTCACTACAGTTAGGAATGTGTCAGATAAAAAGCTAGTATAGGGAAAAAGAGAAGGGGGGACATTAGGGTTAGCATGTATAATGTGGGGGGGCACGGGGAGGGCTGTGCAACACAGAGAAGACAAGTAGTGATTCTACAGCATCTTACTACGCTGATGGACAGTGACTGTAATGGGGTTTGTGGGGGGGACTTGAAGGGGGGAGCCTAGTAAACATAATGTTCCTCATGTAATTGTAGATTAATGATACCAAAATAAAAAATTTAAAAAAGCTAGTATAATAGAAACCATTGGCTTTCAGGAATGTAAACTGATATTTTGGCAAATACTTGAGGCACAGAAATACATTTTATAGCAAATATGACTATGGATGTTTACTATCTTTAATTTACTGACTTTCAATCTGAAAAGATTACAAAAAGGAATACAAGCTGAGACTATTAATGTTGACCACACCGGAAAAGCTAGGACACTAGGACACAGGACTTACTGGAAGGATCATCCTTGGCAGTTGGTGAAACTGAGACATTCAACTGTGCCTAAGTTACAGAATGAATAAATATACAACTTTCTAATAGGAAAGCAGCCACAGTTATTCCTGTCCCTTTCTGCTGCTTTTGCTAATTTTGCTTAATTATTTTGTTTCAGGAAGGGTTTTCACTCATTGGTAGCAAGAACTGGTTGAAGATTGTAAGACGCATGGATTGTCTGTTGTTTGGAACGACGATAAAGGCAAGATGCTGTGTGTGTGGCCAACTGTTTTTAAGCAAAGGATCATACGCCTCTCATCTTCTAAGTGTGTATAGGGAGGGGGGTGGGAGCTTCTTTTTGCCAGCGAAATGGTGCTGGGAAGAGTACATATGTTTAAAGGTTTGCATTATGAACAGAACATGAAACAAGGACTGCCCAGAGGTGGGAGCCTAGTTAGGAGGACGTTGCTGAAGAGCCAGGGTTTTGTCTGATCCGTCAGTACCTGCCTAACAGAGCTGTGTGGCCCCTCCTTACCCCAAACACAAATTGGGAAGAGGTGTGGATCATCATTATTTGTCTTGCAATTTAGATGTTTAAAAGCTGTTTATATTTTGAATGCTTCACTGAATATGTCTTTTCATTTTTCCCCTCTTTAATACTAAGAAAATTTTGCCATTTATTTGCTTTGTAGCTATATTAAACATAAAGAATGATCCTCATCAAAGAAATATGCAGACTTATCACCTGGACTACTTTTCTTTCAGATATAACTATAAAAACCAGTCTGTTGATATCCACTGAGTAGATAATATTGAAATTTAGGTGAAAGATCCTAATTTTTAATGGCCTCATAGACTGAGAGTTGAAAGAGGTCTTCAAGAGCATATCATAGAAGTGTCTTAACCTGGGGTCTACAGGCCCACTAAAGGGTCATCAGAGAATTCAGTAGGTCCATGAACTTGCACTGGATGTTCACTGACCTCTAGTTGAAATTTATCATTTCCTTCAATTAGGAATGTAAGGCATCAGACCACAGCAGCAGTAGAGCTTTGCACCGGGAGAGATCATACATATTTTCCTATCATATTACAGTTGTTTCAGACTTAATGTCATTTATGTTCATCACTACCTCAAAATTTTGGTGGATATTATTCCTGCTAGACCTTTTTATTGAGTACATTAATAAGGAAACATGTATTGTTAGTTCACAAATTAGTGTTTTAATATTACAATACAGTATTCAGTATAATTGGATTTCTTTATAATCTTATGCATTTTGTGATTAAAAACGTTATTCTGAGAATGTGTCTACTGGCTTCACCAGACTGCCAAAGGAGTCTGGGGTACATATGCAAAAATTCAGAAACCCATTTTCATTTAATGTGTAAGAAAACTGAATTTGACTTAAGCATATAACTAACCATGGTTCTAACTAGCTTTCAGAGAACTGGGCCACCCACTGGTCTTCCGACTCCGAGCCCAGGACTGTGTCAGGATGAATGAATATTATATGTCTTTTAAAATTTATACCATACCAAATGTCTGATATTTGGGTTTTCCTAGTTACGTATTATTAAAATTTCTAACTAGAAAGGCCAAAATAAAAACCATAATTTGACCACTCAAAAATAATTATTAACATTTTGAAGTTTTTACTAGACATATATATCATATCAGGTAGGGTACTGTTCAGATGTATGACAGAAAATCCAGGACTAGTGGTCCCCAAAGACAGGGGCTTATATTTTTCACTAAATAAGAAATCCAGAAACAGGCCGTCGCTAGCATTGGCTCAGCAACTCCAGTGCCAAGGTCACCACCATCTTTGCAGTTCCCTCGGCCTCTCCCTCACATTCACAAAACGGTTGCTGCAGCTCTACTCTATTTCCATTCAAGGAAGACCCAGCCTCATCTGTCCCTTTTATGAGGAAAGCATGAACCTCCCTCTGAGGCTCTCCACCTCCCCCAGTCCCCAGATGTCTGCTTATGGTTCATGGACCAGAACAGTGTGATGTGGCCACCCCCATCTGCAAAGATTAGCAATACGAGTGTCTGGCCTTTCCTGCCTCTGGTGGGAACTGGCTCATAGCAATTGAACAGGACTGCCATGTAGATAATTTCTAAGTTTAGGATTGTAGTATACAGAGTGCTTTTTGCTCTGATTTCTTGTCATGTATAACATTACATCAGGAACGTTATACCAACTCATTTCTTAATCTTCGACAACATGATTCTTGGTAGCCACATAGTATTTCATTGCTTGGATGCACCATGATTTAGTTAACTAATTCCCAATTTTTCACTATTCTAAAACCTTTTGATTTTCATAAGGACTTATTTACAAGATTCTTGAAATAGAAATCCTAGATCCAGGGACATTTATTTTATAAACTTGCCCTCCAGAGAGGTGGTCTTGTGTTTCTACAGCACTCGCAATGTGTAAGAACGCTTGTTTATCCAAATCCTCTCCAAGGAGATATCATTTAAATTAAAAAACTAGTTTCCAATTTGATAGGCAGAAATGAGCCTCTTCGTTTTATTTGCATTTCTTTGAAAACATTTTTTGTGTATTTCATCTGCATTTCTTCTGTGAATCATCTGTCTGCTTTTGTCTAAATTTCCTCTTCAAAGTATTTAGACACTGTATGTGTAGAGATCACATTATATAGAAATATAATTTGTGAAGTTATATATCTTATATTTGTGTATATATTACATATTATACATAGATTTTTTTAATAATTAAGGTTGTGTTACTATTATATTTCTAGCTTATTACTGGATTTTTTAAAATTTATATATATATTAGAATAATTTAAATTAGCTTCCTTACTAAGCTTTCATTAACTCTGATACTTTGTTAATTTTTAAATTTCTAGGACAGGAATTTTATAATCCACAGGCAGTGATCATTTTACTTGAGCACTTTATCCTTCCCACCGTTCCCAGCTCCCGGACTCACCCTGGCCCCCGGGGCACTGTAATCCCGCCGGAGCGCTGCCCGTGGTGTCTTGCTGACTTGAATGGGGAGGGGTGTTCTGGCATCACAACACTTCAGGATGTCGACTGGATATTCTTTACCATGTTAAGGAGTTATTATCTACATTAGAGTTTATTTACTAATACTTTTATCAGGATTACATATTAAATTTTCTCAAGAGCTTATTTTTTTTGACACTAAAGCTTTTTGACACCAAGATGATGATTTTTTTCTTTGATCAATTAGCTTGATATATTAATGCTGAATGAACACAGAGATTCTTCTGTTCGCTGTACCTGGCAAAGTGTTTCTTTAGTGTTTCTTTCCTTGGATAACTTTTTGTTAACCAAGTATTACATAACCAACACCATTGTTTAAATTGAAAACTGGGAGAAGTATATTGAAATAAAAATTCCACTCATTCAATAGCAATTTAATATAACAAATTCTGTGGCTAGTGAAGATTATATTTCTTTCTTCCCTGGCTGAAATAAGCACACTGCGTAAGTCCTGCCTGCTTGTAAGTTGGGCGTCCTTGTTTTCAGTAATTTTGATCAAAATGGTCCTGGCCGGCTGACCAACAGTTGACATATAATTCCGTATCTGAAGGACTTTGGCTCAAAGGAGTAAACCTAAACCACTGTGTTCTTTACTTTTCACCTCTAGTAACTCACCAAAGAGTTTTTTCATGATTTTGTCTGGCCTAGGTTTTGAGTATCCCCTCTTGGTTTCAAAGCCAAGAATCAAAGAAAAGGCTGAAGTCCCTTCTCTGGTTCAGTCCTTTTCTGTACCGTCCCCCATTTTCTACAGTAGAAGAATTCACTGCTAGTTGTGGTTCAGAAAACTGCTTTGGTTGAAGTCCTAGTGTTGATAGGAAACTTCTTACAGATCTAAGTCATGAATCTAAAACCAAAAGGAAAACCAGGTGGGTTCGTGAGACCTCCATCTTCTTGGCTTCCCTCCTCCCTGGTGCTAACTGGGCCCCGCATCTCCCACGCGTGTCAATACCATGTTACATCAGCTAGAGTGCCTGCACTGGAGAATCTCTGTATGGAGGTGCCATTCACACCTGTGAGTAGAATTCAGTGGGCCCAGTGCCTCCCAGAAGGTGAAGCCTGATTTTCTTGTGAGTACACTGTTAAATAAAAATTCTGCAATGTCCTAAATTAAGTGAACAGAGAATGAGGGAAAGAGAGAACAGAGAAGAGGGAAAGGGAATGTAATCAGTCAAAGCCATGATAGGCCGTAGCTGACGAGAAACGTCACATTCCTGGAAGCAGTCACTGCAACAATCGCCTAGAAAGTCCCCAGAACGAACACATCCCCCTTTCGCCTGATCAGTGTCTGACCATCATCAACAACCAATCCGCGAGTCTTCCCTATGGACTGACCACCCATCCTGGACGTTCCCCGCTTCAGTGAGCTGACTTTCCTTAGGACATGTTGTTTCTGTGAACGGGCCATGCTGCTGGTGAAGCAGAGACGCCCCGTCCCAGGACTCAGTCCCTCATCTAGCATCTATCAAGTCTCAGTAAACGCTTTTATTTGAGAGATCTCAATCGCTAGAGCTTTTGATTTATCAACATGAAGACAGGTGTAAAGACAAGCGCTTACATTTAACTTGTTTCTTCAAGGAGTCTGTGTAAAAGGGAATTTTCTATTAGTTGTAATAACTTAAAATTAAGTGTTTTGGGATGAAAGGACAGCAGAGAGAATCTAGTCAATAGTTACATAGCGTCTGTGTTTACAGACAGTAACTATGCTTGTTGGGGTGAGGATTTAATAATGTGTAATTGCTGAATCACTATATTGTATACTTGAAACCAATATAATGCAGAATATCAACTATACTTCAACAAAAATAAAGAAATTGTTTTGAAGTAGGGTGGGAACAATTTAACCATGTAAGCTACAACTTGAAATTCAGTAATTCTGAGCTAATCTCCTTAGACGATTTTAGAGACTGTATATTTGGTATTCTTGGCTCTTAGTATATACTTGAAAACTTTTCATTCACTGCAAAGAGCTCTCTCTGACTTTTAATTATGGCATAAAAATAAATCTCATCGATATTTTCAACCTATTTTCAAGAGTCCTTTTTGTCGACCTGGCGGCAGGTTTTCCACTGTGGCGCCCCATGGCCTGAGGACGCGGAATGGGGATAGAGCTCGTTTTCAGAGTTTTCTGGATGTTTCTTAGTTCTATCTGTGGTCCACATGCCTTGAAGTGGTATTTCTGGCTTTGGACGATAAGCGCAAATTCTATCTGAGAATTTTACAGA